TACTTCTAGGGTTATAGGCTTTCGCGATCGGGTTTTCGGATTTGAGAATTAGGAGCGAGGTCGTTGATTAGCCTAGTACTAGTATTCCAGCCCAGGACCGGGTACCCAGGCCAATTCATGACTTGCTGTGTGTACCATTATCATAAACCCGGTACATATACGAGCCCTAAGCCCAGTTCACTTGGTACACCCTCCTTATTGAGAGACCTTACCCTATAAGTCCTGGATATCTACCATCGTGGTGACCCATCCCCAGACCCTAAACCCGAAACCCAATAAGGTACCTTAGGAATTTTGTTGATTCGGAGCGCCTTTGGGTCTTTTAGTGTCGACTGGCGCGTGATTCGGGTCCACTAGTGCTATTCCTGGGTCGGATACGCGTAGCTAGGGCTGCGGGGGAGGACACCCGGAACCGTAGAATAGGCCCTGGAACCGTAGAAATGGGCCCTGGAACCGTAGAAATGGGCCCTGGAACCGTAGAATGGGCCCTGGAACCGTAGACCCGGATTTGGCCAATTTGGGGTGGGAATTTGGAACCTGAAGCTAGAAGATTTCCTGCAGGAGCAGAATGTCCAAGCGCGGAAATGGTTCTGGCTGTACCGATGCTTCTGCGAACTCCATAGATGCAGCAGAATTTCTTGCCAAGGCCAAGCAGCGAGCTGCACTTTTGAAAGCAACGAAGCGGCAAGCCCCGGCAACACCAGCAAATGCGGGCAAAGCTACGAACCAAAGCAAGAAAAGCCCAGCCACGAGCACAGCAACCCCCAGCCTAGCCGAATCCGGAGTGTCTTTGTCTGTTAAATCGCAGCTGCACTGCATTCATTCAATTGTTCGCAAGCATGATCCTGTTATATGCCATCCATGTGTGTGTGTGTGTGCATGTGTCTGTGTGTCTGTGTGCACGAATATGCTGAGGACTCCTGTCAAGTCCCCGGACATGAAGAAGCCCAAGATTTCAGTGGCGGAGCCCAAACGACGTGTGTCGGGAAAGTCCCCGGCTCCCACGGTCCCGACCGACAACAGGACGCTACATGTGCCATGTCCCAAGCCTATATAGCTACATTTCAGGCCCAAAGCCCTAAACTACCATACCCCCTAGACCCTAAACCCTATTACATTTACAATATAATAATACCATCCCAGGGCACCGACTGATGCCGATAGTCGCCACCGGCCTGGAGGGATATAGCATAATAGGGTTATATATCTGCAATTCCGAAGGGCTATGCCTCGCCCTGTAGGGGGAAGTTTATCGGGTTGTAGCGCTTATGGCTTTTGAGGCTGGGTTTTAGGGTCGTCCAGGTTTGGGGCTCTCCATGATTTCCAGCTGTTGATTCATAAGATTGTCGAAGCCCATGGGGGGTGTGTTGTTTTTTAAAATCTCGCTAGATCTACTCGAAACAAGCAGGGTGTCTTATCCGTGTTCCTTGAAAAACATAAACCCCTAGCCCTATAGGCCTAGTTTATTATATATATATA